ACCACTAAGGCTGGGCCATAGGAGTTAATACAGATTTCATAATCATGTATTTATTTTTGAGAGTGTAATATATTTTTTGTTTGTCATGTTTTTATTTTCTCTGAGAGATGAACTGTTTGGGAGGGCAGTGCCTTACTTTTATGTTTTTTCAAAGCTACTACCAGCTTTACTTACTAAAAATGAAATAAAGAACAAGTGCTCATAACTGTGTGGAAATTGTGATGATTGGTAGTAAAAAATAATAAAACCACAGGGTGACGTAAAGACAAAACCTTTGACTCTGAGAAATTATATTTGACTTATATTTTGTGACAATTTTTGAATTCAGTGATTAGTAGAGAGGATAATCAGCATCAATAATGAACACAATCACAAACTGTGGCCTTTTTACTGAATCAGAGCGTTTGGCGACCGAAGCACTGACGAACGCTCATGACGATTCTCTGTGCCCCTCAACTGTGAGCACTGAGTTCACTGTTAGTCCATTTCCCAAAAATGAAGCTGATCTCTTGCTAAAACATACATGGTTCTAAGGGCAACGGATCACTCAGCTAAAAAGGAGTTAGAGAGAGAGATGGAAAGAGTCAGATTGAGAGCTAGAGAGCATGAGAGAGGGAACAAAATCTGTGTATGCTGCTGTCACAGGACGTCTGTGCATCACTAAGTGGGTAAAAGCATTACTGCCTTCTTCAGCTCCACAGACTAAAAATAAAACTGATGAACATCCATAAAGTCGGTCTGTGTGACATAAAGGGAGCATCAATCACGCATAGATGGTTCAGACATGAAGGTCAGAACAACAAGTGCAGAAATCAATCCTTCGCTCTGTGTCATATGAATTTCAACGCTTGTTTCGGCAAAGTCATGCACGCAAAGAAAAGGCCAGAACAGCACAGAGTGTCATACCCACTGTATTTAAAGCTCTCCAATGCACTACGAGTACGAGCATAGCCCACCAATAAAAACAGCTAACGACAAAATAAAACCTTTTCTAATCCATGTGCATCAGCTATATGATTTAAACTGAGATCGGTTAGTAATGCTAGTTCATACAGATAAATCAAGATAAAGAAAGGCTCAAAGTTAGGAAAGTTAAGATCCCTATATAATCATACAGGGTAAATACAAAGCATGAGATACAGAGGAGAAATCTGACTAATGCGAAACTTAAACTGTGATATGCTAATTAAAACATCAACAACAACAAGGTAATAAAAACATGTCCTACAAGTGACTTTAAAGAGTAGAATAGTGCCTTACTTGCAGTAGAATAGAAATCATTAAAACTTGTAGACCTTCCAGTTTGATACAAAGAGTTTCCGGTTGGATTTTTAAAAAAGTGTCAGCACTTACTCGGTTCAGCTCTGAGCGAGGTCCAAGGACATTTATCATGTCTTAACAAGTGTGCTGGCTCTCTAGCACGTTACATTACCAGCAGCGGCCCCGCCTGCTGTAAACCTGAAGGGCCTTTAACATCAGACTGCTTCACAGGCCTGTACAATGTGTCACAATCATCATGCACATATGGCACTCCAATCCTGTCCTGAGGAAGAGAGTGCATAAAATATTACACATTATTGGGCATCTAGCAAAAAGCAAATATCAAATAGTTTTCATTTTTTCTTTATCACAACTCATCGATGTCAGTGCTATTGTAATTAGGACTAACTATGGCTCAAAACTGGATTGAAATGAATCTTTGATTTGAAGATCCATGGTAACGCTGTCCAGTGCAATAGAAAAAAGGCTTCTACCAGTGTAGGCTAGTCCAGTGCATGAGATAAATTTATATTTGTGACCCACTTTTTTGGTCCCATTTTTTTTTCCAACAACAGACCACTGAAAAAAGAATCCCCCCACCCCCCACCCCCAAACAGACAAGTCTTTAGAAAAACACTGTAAAATTTAGATACATTATCATCTGGCAAAACATCTATTAAATGTCTTTGTAAAGTCCTAAAAATGTCTCTAGTGGAGAATCTTTGTCCAGTGGCACACACATATCACTTCTGCAGCATCCAGGAGGCCCTGGTGCTTTTTGCACCAATTTGTTTTGTATAGTCTGGCAAAGCTTCTGTCTGTGTCACACATCTGTCATCAGTCATCCGGTGAGCACACCAGGTGAAGCTGGTCCGGGCTCCCCACGCTGCCCGTGCTCGAGCTCCCGTCCCCCAGGTCCCGGGCCACCATGCAGGGCAGGTTGAGCTCGGTGGAGCCGCCGGGGCTGGAGTCGCTCCTGCTGACGCACTCCTCCTCCAGCACCAGACACAGCTCCTTCAGGTCCAGGTTCTCCTTCACCAGGCCGTCCTGCATGCGCTCCAGGTCGGCGAGCTTTTTCAAGTAACCGCCCAGGTCCTCCCGCATCACTTTGGCGGCGTGGTGGCCGAACAGCTGCCACTCCCGGGCCAGCTTCTTCACCTTGAGCCGGTCGTCGTCCAGGAAGCAGCACAGGTCCCGCAGCTCCACGTTCTCCTCCTGCAGGCGCTGGTTGATGACTTTCAGTTCCCTGATTTCCAGGAGGTGTCCCTGCAGCTGTTTATTTACCTCCTTGATCAGCCGACCTCGCTGGATGAGCGCTGAGATTTTCTCGGACTCCTCTTTACGCAGCCGGCTCACCAGCTCCTCTTTGGAGCACGCCAGCAAATCCTCGTCAGACATCTTTGACAGCTCTCTGTTTATTATCTCACCCTCACTGCCCATTTTCTATTTAAAAAACAAACCTACACCTACAGATGGTACCTGAGAATCTATTAAAAAAAAGCGCGGAGATGGCGATGCCTCACTGCTCAGTCTTCATCACCACATCCTCCTCTTCATCTCCAGGCGGTGTTTGGTGGATGACATGTAGCCTATATGCGATCCCCACACCACAGGAGGCCAAATCCAGGCAGAAACATGTGATTTCTCTATTTAGCTGCTTCTCTTCGCTGCCTCTCTGCCTCTGTGCTGTTTTTACGCAGAAGCCAGTGTCTGCTCTTAATGAGGTCGCGGATGAAAACGCACCACAAACCCTCATTAATGTCAATCTGTCATCCTCTCAACAGCAGGCTGCCTTCTCCAGCAGGCCTCCAGGAATACTACTGTCCTTGTTTTACCTCCTCGAGCAGGATCCAGTCGCCTGTTGGGGGTTTTATCGCGCTACAAAGGCCCCGGTCGATCCACGGAGGCGTAATCCAGCTGCCTCGGACGCACACCCTGCAGATGTTGTTGGTTTTTTACGTCGCTGGCATCGTCTCATCCGGCTGCGCTCTGCTCCTCGGCTGAATGAACACACTCCCCCGGTGGCTGCAGGGAAGAGTCCGTGTGGTGCAGCAGCTTGTCTCGTCCTTCTCACTCGTCTGGTTGTTCCAAACGGGCCACTGTTTAAATTAAAGGAAACAAAACCAATCTCAATCCAATGCAGCCCTTCAAATTAGACGCACCGTCTCTGTTCATCCTCTGGGGCTGGACTGTTACCACAACAATGTCCGACTCCAACACTTTCACGGCTCTGACTCCTCGTCAAGCTGCAAAAGGACCGGATATCTATTTCTAAGGCCTTCAAAATGAAAGCAGTCTCTATTAAAAATTACGCAAGAAGGGAGGAAGTGTTGTACAATGTATTTTGTGAACATACTTAAGCAAAAACCACGTGTGTTATTTAGCTTAACTTTTATTTAAATTGATGATGTGATGCTGTTGTGTCATGTTCCTCAACACTTTAGCTTTTATTTTGTGTGGTCTTACCAGAAGCTACAGTTTCCATGACGATCGCTGGCTTGACGCGTTGATCTGACAGCAATCTGAGATATTTGTGGTTTCCTCTGAGGTTTCCAGTGGCTCTTCCACACACACAACTGATGGCATGGCGGTGAAAAGACGCAAAATGAAGTGGGCAGCTAAGATCAGGCAGAACTGACGCCATCCATCTCAGTTACACTGTGAAAAACAGAAAGATGTGAGGAGGGAGATCTGCTCCATGTGCGCCTTCAGTGAGGAGCTTGTGTGGCCTCCTTAAAAACACATTTACCCCAAATACAAATATATCGCAACAACATGGACAAGCTCAGTTTATGAAGGAAAGGAGCAGGAGAGGGCAAAGGGAGGCCACTTCCTCTGGGGTGCAGCCATCCTCACATATAACCAGTTCTTTGTAAACATGAGACACACACACATCCTCTGTGTACAGAAATGTGTGGGATACAGTTGGCTACAGTGTTACAGGAGTGACTACTGGATGTGCTGCTTTCTTTTAAAAGCACACTGGTGGAATGTGTGACTGAGCCACTTTTTCCCGCGGGTTTATGCTAAAGGAGTGGAAGATCTGCTCCATGTGCCCTCAGTGGAGAACTTGTGCGCATCCATTTGGATTCAAACATGGATTTACCCCCCATTTCATACAGTAAAAACACTAAGGGGGGTGCAGGAAAGGCCTACTTCCTCTGGGGTGTTCTCATCCTCAAATACTACTGGTAGTTATTTGTCCCCAAATGTTTGCAAACACACAAACATCCTGTATGTCTTCTTTAGACAGAAAGGTGTGGGGTACAGTAATGTTCTATGAGTGACTCCTGGATGAGCTGCTTTCTTTTCAAACGCCACTGGCGGAAAGTGTGACTGCAGCCTTTTTTCCGCGGGTTTATGCTGAGGCATTCAGCCACATCCTTCCGCCCTCTGTCCCACCTCCATTGTTTCACTGAGGCCACAACAATGCAGGGTGTTAACTGCGCAAGGGGGAGCCGGGAATGGAATCAGGGTGTCATGTGAGGTTATAGACGTGGATGTGCAGCGAGGGATCCGACAAAAAGACATGTTGACGAGGTCGTTTTCTCCCATGTTTTGGTTTTTGAAGGACACATGCAGAAGCACAGAAAGGGAGGGTGAGCAGGGGGATTTACGGGGATTTATTCAGATTAATCGCTGGAGGAAAAGAGAGCAGATTGTGTAAACGCAGGCAAAGCACATGTATGCTGGAGGGGCCTGGTGCTCACACAGAGGAGCCCATCTCTGATCTGACAAAGTGTAGATTCTCAAATGAAAGGCCAGAGATCAACAAAAGAGTCCTGTCAAATGTGCCGGTGAAACTTGAGTCATTAAATAATCATCGGTTTTTATTTGATTTTTGTGTGGCTGCTGATGCCTCACTTACTTTGAACTCAGTGACAGGATGTGGACTCTTATTATATATACAGCCAGCTTTGTGTAAATCACCAGGTTTGGTTTCAAGGGTGGGGTGGGGTGGGGGGGTTACAATTAAGAACAAAAAAAAACATACAAATCTAAATACATTAAAATAAACATCAACAAATCAAAATAACTCCACAAGAACAACATGAAATCCATACATTATGAATAATGCATAGTGATATAAAGTATTCTTTATTCATGGACTTACCCTATGTATGCCAGATGCCGTTCATCGATCATTTAAGTTTTGATTATGCCATTCACTGCTGATGATATGCACTTAAACAACAGACATTCCAATATAAAACTCATCACAGCCTGTTGTTAAACATTAAGGACCATATCATTAAACATAACATGTGTTCATTGCAGCCAGGAGCACAATAAACAAAGTCAGTACATAAGATATGTAATCATTTTAATTCTAAAGGCGATATTGTTGCTACACACATTATGGAAAAATAATAATGTGGACAAAATAAAGAAATGATAGTTTAGTGAAATAATTCACAGTCAGATTTTTTCTTGTGCTATCAGGAGGTTATGTAAGAGCAGTATTGGAGGAATTAGTCAGATCTTAGCAGTAATACGCAGAAATACAAGTACAAATGATGCAGCCAAAGGTTTAATATTAAGTTCAAATGTATTGACATTCAAATGTACTTAAAGTACCAAATATCCAAGTTCTGATTATGCATAGTGGCCTGTTTCCACATAATATATAAATGAATATTTGAATATAATGAATCAGTGATGTCATCACTTCACTTTGCAGCTAGTGATTTGAATTCCTTTACATGTACTTACTAATATAGTCTTATTTCAATAACACATCCTAATTCACTTGTTGATTACATTTTGTGTACAAGTACAACTAAGTACACAAGTATCAAATCTTTAAAAAGTACAATATGTATCTTTGGATTCTAGTGAAGTAAAAAGTCAGCTGAAAAAACAGAGCTGCTCGTGCGAAGTACTAGTACTACAGTAGTCGAGTAAATGTACCTTGTGGAGACCTGTGACGTCACCAAACCGGAAGAAGCTGCTGTTGTTGACACTGCGGAGCCTCGATGCTACATTGACAACAGCGTGTAGCGGCGTGTTCGTGTTTTAAATACAAACCTTAAAGACCCGAGTTCTCTCCTCTCTACACCCCCACGTTCATTTGTTCCTCACTGACCGTGTCACTGTCCTGGTTGTCACTTCAGTCTGCGCCGATCACTTTGCTCTGCAGCTAGCACAGCAGGCTAATTTCCAGTGGAGGAAGTTAGCTGCTTATGGAGAGTCAGTTTAAACTCTGTTAATAGAATTGAACGATTAGCTCCGTGGTGTTTGTTTAAAATCTAGTTGGGACAACGCTGTGGACGAGGTAAAATATCAGTATGGAGTTTGTGTGTGTGTGTGTGTCAGAGGAGTGTTGATGGCTGCGGGAGCTAAAACACTTCATGTTGATCACCACCTGACCTCTCTTGTTTCTCTGTGTCCTCGCAGATGGCAGTGGAGCTGGATGTGTTCGTGGGTAACACCACCATCATGGATGAGGAGGTCTATCAGCTCTGGTTGGATGGACACACAGGTAGGGGGTCTCACCATGCACCTGTAGGGTCACAACATGCTTCAGGAGGGTGTGGATGCAATGAGGAATATGTAGGTACTTCTACTGAGTGCTGTTCAAGATTCAAGATTTTTTTACTTTCGTTCCAAAACATGAGTTACATGAGGAGGGAATGAAACTAAGTACTGAGGTCCCGATAAGCAACAATGAAATAGAACACTAGAATTAAAAAATAAGCAGAAAACAAACGCAGTCAAATAAAAACAATAGAATCTCAAACTACACAAGGATGAAAACAAAGCAAATTAAAAAGATGTAAATGAGTTTTGATCAATGTGAGTATGGATACTCAAGTATTATTGCACATGAAAGAGTCTCTGGTGTGTGTGTGTGTGTGTTTGTGTGTGTGTGTGTGCGTGCTTGAGCTGTTTTTCTTAGATATTGTCAGCAATCAGGGTTTTATGATCCTAAGTAGCTGCACAGTAAATGTGAGTCTGTTCCAAGATTATAAACAGGATAGAAAATAAAGACACAATAATGCTGCCACACATTTTTCAGTCCTGTTCTACGCATTTCTATTTTTAAAACGTGAAATACTGGATAGTTTCACCCCTTCAGGCCTCTGAAAACTGTTCAGATTCATCTATCTGATTGATCATCATACTTGAACTGGTGCTAACATATTAATTTGGATGCTAGCAACCAGTGATCTAAAGCATCAAATGTGAGAAACTAGAAGATTCCTCGGAGGGAGCACGTACCTCCAGGGACGTTCCCTATCTCGGCTTCCGGATCAGCTCCAAAATTGAATGGGTTCTTTCTCAGGTCATGACCCACTCCTCCATAGAATTTCATGGAAATTGTTTCAGTAGTTGATTAATTAAACAGAGAGGACAGACAGAGAGAGACAAACATTATTAACAGTAAAACAAATAAGGCACCCGCAGCATCTCAACTGTGAAGTTGCAGTAGTAATTTATTCCATCTTAATATGTACACTGGTAGCTACAGTTCTGTTTCTTGAGCTTTGCTTGTTTTCTGTATTTTTTCCAACAGTGAATGATGCAGTCAAGGTACGGATGGAGGGAGGAGTGCTGGAGGAGTGTGAGGCGAGCGCAGATGTTCTGATGAGCGACACCATGGACCAGTATAGGACTTTCCAGATGTGTGAGCGTTTGCTGCACAGTCCATCCAAACTAGCCAATCAGCTCCTGTTCCAGATCCCTCCACATCGACAAGCTGTCCTCATAGAGAGGTGCAGCAATGGTGCTCTCATTTATCATGTGACATGTGACCTGTGTATTTTTCTACATCTCTGAATCTTCCTTCAACTACTAACTGTATTATATTTATTTCCTTACATTACAGATAAGAGTATATTTCTACAGATCTTCACTTTCCACTGTGTTTCTTTGTTTAGATACTATGCTTTTGATGATGCGTTTGTCCGTGAGGTTCTGGGAAAGAAACTCTCTAAAGGAACCAAAAAAGACTTAGACGACATCAGTGCCAAGACAGGTGTGACACTGAAGAGCTGCAGACGACAGGTAAATACATTCTTCATTCTCCTCATCTGTATTATCAGGTTTAAAGATTGGCAGTGCTCAATATAGCAGCTATGTGGATACATTTCAGTTCGGAAACACAGTTTGCCCTTCAGCTTGATAATGGCTGCAAACAACACCTCCTGCTTTCATTAAAACTCACGTCACTATAGTTGTTCTAGATTAGCTTTCTGTGAATATTCAATGAGCCGATTTTCTT